TTGAGGGGAAATGCTCTGACTGGTAGCTCTCTGCAAGTAAAGCAAGAAGTCATTAACCAGGGCTGCCCTGCAAATACCAATCAGACTCTGGTGGCCAAATTTGGCAAAGCTTCCCTAGACTGCTGTCATTAGCATTTCCACTCGAGCAAAGAAAAAGAGTCCTTATACCTTCTCACTCACTCAGGCTGATGCATGGCTATTTTTGTCACAAAAATATCTTCCAACTCTTCTTCATACGTTTCCTCCTCTCAACCCTCGAGCTGCTGCCGCTGCATGAGTGCCCATCAGATGTTCACTCTTCAGTCTGGAGGCGTGAGGAATTATCTGCAAGGGCAAATGGATTACGGAGAGAATAGTTTTCCTTCCCTGACATCTCTATTTTCTCATCAGAGGCTCAGGCGACTCGGTGCCTTGGCTGAGGACATCTGGTTGTATGAAATACTACAGCATACACCTGTCTCCTGGCAGGCATGTGCACACACAGGTGTCGCGTGGCATTAGATTTGCTCAGCCATCAGAGATGCAGTTTGACATCCCCCTGGGGACAAGCTATAACTTTCTTCATGTTAGAACATACTGGAGACTTGAGGCCAATTTTATACATTTGTTTCTTTTTTTCTGATGCTGATCAAAAACGTTTTTACCATTGTCAGTGGAGTGGTTTTATCTAGTAATATCAGCATTTGATGCTACATAACATCGAAAAGTGGGACATGGAAGAATGGCCAATTGGCTGGAGAATAGCTGTGTTATCTTACAAATAAAAACTAAAGTAGAAATTCTGGCTCTTTTGTTGCTATTGGCTTTCCAGTGATGCTATTGTGCATCAGGCTTGCATGCTAGATGATGGAACAGGCAGTGCATTTTTAATCTGGTAAATAATCTGATGTCCCAGAAACCTTCTGCAGAATGAAAATTAATAAGACTTTTCTGATCATTTCTAAATGAACATCTTTCTTTAGCTTTTTTAAAGCGCCTATTGCTATACTGCCTGGATGCCAACATAAATAATCTTTTCTCCAGAGCATCTTCATAAGACTACAAACATTTATGGAAATAAAGAAAATAAACCTTGTTATTGTCCGAATAATCACTCATTTATTGATGGAGACAAGTATGCTCATTTTTCTTGCTCTCTGGTGATTAGATTATGATAAACTGTGACATTTAGTGGTAAACTTGATATGGTTGGTTACATAGAGCTTAAAAAAGTGGCTATCCAATTATTCTTTCATATGCTGGAGGAATACATTAACTACCTGTGAAGCGTATTGCAATGGTTATGAAGCAAACGGCACCCACTTCTCTAAGTGGCTGTGACAAATGCAAAGGTCACATATGTTTCCTGGCCCATCAATATTATTTTTGTTGTCTCCCTTTGCTGTCCCATGTTCCAGCAAAACCTTAAGCTCAAGTCAAAATGGTAATAAAGACTTTGCATTGACTGAGTAGAGGATTAATGTATAGACCTCTGGGCATGCAGGAGAAAGGCAGTTTCTGGTATACTAGACTCCACATAAGTTGAGAGCTAAACATCCACCCAAAACACTGCTTGGAAAGAGCTCACTAATGGATCCTAAAGAAAATCCTCCAGAGGGCTCCTTTCTTTAGTTAGATCTGAAGTTTCTACTTTTTAACCCAAAACAAGGACAAATTTGCAGACATGCTGAGTTTGTGATGAGGATTGCTGGAAATAAACTGCACAGTTTTCAAAATCAAAGCACCAAAATTCCTGTGAGGAATAAGTCTCTCTTAGCCACACTGAATTACATTCAAAAAAGAGCAGCAAAGCAGCTGGAATCCAACCTCTTTCCTTTGGGGATAGCCCCAAATCCTAGCCTATGAGATACCACCAAAGATCTCCCAGATCTGTTGTCATGTCAAAGATTAACTGTGCATCATTACCCATCTTGACATTGCACACCCACCCTTTCCTGCTGTGATCGGCAGATTGTCACTGTCGGCAGATGCTCACAAGACTGTATTTCCCAGCAGCTATGAAAGGATGACTAAACCCCCAGGAACAGAAGGGAGACACCCCTGGACATGAGTCTCTGTTTTGTCTAGATAACTTCATCTTCACAGCATAGGTCCTTTGAGAAAACAAACATCCAGTGACAGGCAATCCTCCAGCTTTACGAGACATTTGACATTTTTCTCTTCACAGGTTCTACTTATTTCCCAATGACTCTTGTTCATTGAACAAAGTCATCTGTATCGTCAGGAGTCTTCTGTCATGAAACATGAATTTTAGAATGCAACAGGATCTTGGCAGAAGCAATAAGGCATCTGGGCCAGTCAAGGAGTTAAACCATTCAAACAAGGTGACTGGGATTAGGAAAGAATTCAGCCCCTGAGGGAGAACGTGTGGGACAGACTCAAAAGATAGCATGTAATTAAATTCTTGGCTGCATGTATGCAAGGTTTAGAGGAACACTTTCCTTTGTCCTTCTCTATTCCTTCCCCTGGGCAAAGATCCTGCACGTGTGTTTGTCTTCCTTGACTGGTGCTCTGAGCCAGGTGAGTGGGGGCTGCTCTGGGCAGACCTAAGGCTTGAGGGTATTCTATGCATTCTATAATTCTATGTATTTGCCACTTCCCCAGTTGTGTTTGGTGTTTATACCATGCATGGCACCAGAAAGTTAAGGTTCGTATAGAAATGAAGGCCCCTGGCTCCACGTGCACCATCTATTCCTGGACTCCTTGCTATGTCCCCGCTCCCCCTCTTCCTCCCTTCTGCAGGCAGCTCACTGCCTGCGGCACTGCAGCCTGCAGAGCTGCAGGGATCCTTGACTAATAACTGAACACACTCAGCTCCCTTGCTGTTTCACCACCTGTATTCCCCAGCCTTCAGCCTAGCAACTGGAGGATCATATATCACCCTCTGTCTACAGGGAACTGCCTTTACTCACGCCCGTGCCTCTGCTTACTTGAGGCTTCCTCAGTTTCCAGGCTCCCAGAACAAGCTCTGCTTTCTGCTGCCTGAAGTCTGCACATTCCTTCCTATGCTCAGCATTTCCTCAGCAGGTCATGCAGCCTGTTTTGCTTTTACCTGCAGTTTGCAGAAACTGCCTTCTCCTCTGGGGTAACAAGGGAGATCTGCTAATCAGCCTGGGCTGAACCCCTTGCAAAGTAAAGCTGCTGCCTTTTGAGTTTTCATGTCGGCCTGAGGAGGTAAACCCCAGCACGAAGCCAGCCAAGGAAGCCCAAATGTTCTGATGAGAACCAGCAGGGCAAGGAACTGCAAAAGATTTGAAAATTTACTTCCCTCCTAACTTCAGTAACTCTTTCTGGCTTCACAGACTCAGGGGAATAAGCATCAATAGCAGGCGCACTTGCTGTGGATGAGAATTCGAGTCCTAAATCTCAGCAGTTCCCTGCAGTGAAGGACTGCTGAGCAACAAGGTGTGTGATAGAGCAGAAATCATTTCATATCATAATAAGGCACTTTGTTGTCCTAGGATATCTCGTGCCCCCTGCCTCTGCAACCAGCAGGTGCAAGGGCAGCTCTTCTCCCCATGCCCTTGAGTGTATCACCAGAGGTAAGACACTGCTGCTATGGCAATTTGGGGTCCCACTAAGAGCAAGAAGCTACCATTCCTCACAAGTGACGGGAGTTGTCTCTGCTCGTCCCTTGCTACAGCCCTGAATATCCTATCAGTGCAATTTCCACTACCCCACAGCACATGTTACCCTGGAAGTATCATTGAACATAAGGCATAAGAATTCTGTTACTATATTTATTGTTCATGCACTTTGGGTTTGCATGGGTATGATGTACAGTGCTGCTCTGCAGCACGGCATAATTTCTAGCACAGAATATAGCAGCATATTGCAGCACAAACTCCTCTCAGATGGGATTTTAAATGTCCATCTTTAGTTAGCTGTGCAAGAAAGACACAGGCAGGAGCAGGAGAGATGCTCTCAGCTCTCACTGACTGCAGCATTGGAAAGGGATCAAAGCATCAGTACCTCACTTGCCACAGCCACAGGTACCTGAAGTGACTTGACATCTTGCAGCCTCATGATGCTGTGAATTTGCCTGCTGAGGTTGGAGTTCTGATTGCATCCACATTCATCCTGCAGAAGCAGAGCATGAAGGTGAAATGGAAAGAATAGATCTGGTTTGTTAGTATTCCCCCAGAAGCCAACTACTTCTTGGAATAATAATAATAATGATAAGGATGATAATAAACATTCCAGTTGCATATCAGGAAAACGTGAAGTGTTTACATGGAGTAGGGTACAAATAATTTATTCTGACTCACTAGAATATTAACCCAAGTTTAAGACAGGGGTGCAATGTCTTTGATTGTTATTTCCAATCTGGGTAGGGGAGGAGGTTTCGGTCTGTGCTACTCTTATTTCAACTCAACTATATCTGCATTCTCCTTCCTAATTTAATACCTAACTTCTTATTCCTCCTTGCAGTTCTGTATTTCTTCTGTGTGACTTGCTTTATTTTTTTGCTTTCTTTCTCTTTTATTCTTTTGGACTCCTCAATGCTGGTTTTTTCCTCCCACCTTCTATTTTCCCTCAATTCCCTCAATCAGAAAATCCAGCTTTTTAAATCCATTTAAGCTTTTTCAGAGTTAAGCTTGTGACCTAACACTTCCCTTAGGATAACAGATTGAAATATTTACTTCCCGAAGGAGACCCACAGTGTGAAGGAACCACAAGCTGGACCCACTTCAGCCATTTTCTTGGGAATACTGATTTTCTCTCTCACTTTATCAAGTGCTTTATTTTTAGGGCAGCTGGAGCATAAATAATCGATATCGCATAGATGAGGCTGAGTAGTGGAGACATAACAGTCTCCTGCCAGGTCCAACAGCCTATTGAGGCATAGTAGGGTAATTCAGAAATTATAGCAGCCCAATAAGTGGGCAACAAGTTTACTGAACACCAACAGCAACACTTTCCAGGGATATTTATTTGGCTGTCAGAGTATGAGAAATAGCTGACAAACAGCATTGTACTGAGTTTCCACACCATTGTCCCAAGAACTATACGCTAAGCTGCTGGAAACAATGATTTATCCCACTGGGTTTGTTAATTATAAGATGAATGGGCAACCAGAGACATTAGCAAGAAAAGAAGAAACCAATGTGCAGTGACCATATGTTCCCGAAATTTATTCCCAATACACTTAAGCTATTCAGAGCAATACAACTTTGACTTTTTGAATCTTTACAGATGTTTTTCCAGTGTAAGGCCCAGTTAAGCACATGCCTAACATCAAACTCAAAAGGAGTTTCACTGACATCCTTTGGGTTTCTCTTACATATACACCAAAGACTAGAGTTTCATTGACCTGGCAACTGCTGTAATGTGGGCAATTCCTTGGCAGCTAAGCAGCAGACATAATCAGATTATGGGATTATGTTCTCTGCTCTGTGTGTGTATGCACACAACTGTGAAGTCTCTCCCCTCAAAACCACCTGGGGCTTCACAGTTACAAGGCCCAGAGACTTGCAGTTCCATGGACTCCCACTGGCAACCGAAGTACCTTTTCTTCCATCAAGGCTTTTCCACTGAAAACTTCTACTTGCAATTAATGTTTTATTTTGGTGATGGCCTGCAGCATGCCTTCTGGCAGTACTTAAAAATGGTAGTGGAAAAGCAAGAGACATTTGTTTGGGGATGTATTTATGTCAGAGATTTAGGAAGAAGTAAAGATGTCAAAGAGAAAATATCAATAATTACAGGATTGGCCTCTCTAAGTAATGCTCTGCAGAACTAAGAACTCAAAACCCAGCAACTCCTGAAGGTCTAGGCAAAAGGCTTAGTACATATATTTTGCTCTTTTGAGCACGGCAGCAATTTGTGGGAATACACAGAAGCTTAATAATTGAGACATTGACAGCAGTATTTTCCATCTGTTCAAAGCTGTCACACAGATACTATTTCCGCTCCTATCCATAGCTTAAGCAGGAGGATGTATGTGAAGGGATTCACAGGGAAGCAGATTCTCAGCGAATGTGTTCAAATCAGACATACACACGTAAGATGGGGTGTAACTCCACATACACATTAATGCTGTAGCTTTTGACACCTTGGCAAAATGACTGACAAAGGCAGTGGAAGAAATGACAAAGCAAAGTTGACACTCAAGCTTTAGCTCACCATTGCTCATTTTCTGCGTTTCTCATTTGTCGCTGGTAGTGTTTCACAGTACTGCCAAGGAGTGCACAAGGCAACTGTGGAGGGACATCCCAAATTTCCTGTTTGAAACATCGCTTGTACTGCACTCCTTTTAAAATAAAAAAAAAAAATAATAAAAAAATATTGAGAAGTCTTCTACCAGGAGATGTCGGCACCAGCTGTATTCATCAGAGACCCCCAGCTGGGCTGGGGACTTTCTTGTAGTGTTTATTCTGCAAGCGTCTTAAGCAATGCAGTGTGGGATTGGTTATCAGTGGTACAGGTGAGCAGGCTGCTGGGTAGATACCCCTATTTCTGAGGCATCAGTAAAATGTCTGATGATTTTGGAAACTGTAATATGCTGAGCTTTGTAGTTGCCTTGGGAATAGAAACTCTTGCTGCACCGGAGGGACATCTGTTTACATCCCCTTAGATCACATTGTGCATTTAACCTAGGATTACACAGAGGCAGGAGCACCTAGCGTTTGATGGCTTGGTGTTGCTTGCAGTGTGAACAGGAAAAGAGAGAGTTTTGCAAAGATCTCACCAGGGAAAAGAAGAAAGCACCTCCTAGTCCTTGACTCCATAGGAGGAAACTGAACGTAAAATAACAGGCGTTAGCTCCCATCAGATTACAAAGCTTGAAATAACACAGTAATTGCAGCTCTATTCCTGGCCCTTGCATTTGCCAGAAACTGTTAACTCCTCTCTGACAATGCAGCCAGGTGAATGGTCCCTGGTCCAAGGAACTCCAGGAAGAGGTGGGCAGGTGTTGGGGGTACGAGGTGAGCAGCCAGAGGACACCTCAGCGTGGGAACATCTCCAGTAGATTCCTCTTGGATTGGGGAAGATGCTCCCTCCTCTCTGCTGGCCCACAGGCAGCATCGGCTGGCAGTGAGGAGGGGGAGCACACGGCAAAGAGCTCGCCTGCTGCTGTGGAAGAGGAATAGCAATCTCCTAAAACAGCCATAAAGAGGGAAAAGCAATTATAATTTGTGAAAGTGATAATAGATAACCAGGTAGCATTTAATAGCTCTACGAAGATATCTTGGAGGATATCTCCTATCGACATATCTCAGAATTTATTAAATTGCTTTCATTATTCAGATTCATTTTGAATTCAGTGCCAAGAGCTCCCTGGCACCGTGGAGGACTTTTAATATTTTGATTTGTCATTATCATCAGCTTGCCTTGGAAAGGAGCTTCAACTACACATGCAGAAGACAGTTTGCTTGCCACATATTTTGGTTTTAATAGAGACAAGAAGAAAAACAGAGGAGGGAAGAACTGGGACATTTTGTTCTTGTGGCTTTAAGATTCTTTGGAAAATCAGTTATTGATAGGTGGCCCTTTTTGGGAGATTCAACTATACTATGATGTTCAATTAAGCTTATTGAAAGAAGATTAAGAAACAATTTAATCACAGTTTGTGGGTACCTACATAGGAAAAACATTTAATACAAAAGGGTTCTTTATTCTAAAAGTCAAAGGTATTAAATTGCTGGAAGTTGAATTCAGAAAAGGTTAAATTAGAAATAAGATTATTTAAATTATTTATTTCTTTTTTAACAGCAAAACCACTTTACCATTGGAACAAGTGATCAAGAGTCCAGAAATCCTGGCTTTAAATCAAGATGAGGTGAACTGATATGCTCTACTCCCACAGTTGCTCAGGTTTAGGGTTAGGAAGTGTTCACCTGGGGGCTGGTTGTGCCTGCTGACTGTAGGTCCTTGGGGGCTGCCTCCTTTTTGCTGGGCTTAGCCCCCTGCAACAGGGTCCTTTGGAAAGTCAGGAGCTTGAGTTCATGCTCAGACTACTGTGTTGTGTCTGGGGTTAACTCCAGTAATGTGGGGATATATCCTGCCTGCGGTGTGGCTGAGCCTCCTGGCAGCAGTTGGCAGGTTGGGAGGTTTGATATGTATCACACAATTTAATTACTCAAGTTCTGACAGACAGATGACACTTCCTAGCACTGCAGATTCAGGGACTATCCTGACCAAAAACATTGACTGTAAGGAAATTAAGAAGAAAGTGCAAGACTGTTTTTGTCAAGGTCTAAAATCCAAAATGGATTCACATCCTGAGCTGTAAAACATAAGATTCTTTCTCAAGCAGTACAAGCCACCTCACATCACAAAACCACTGGGAGCCATAAATCTCCTAAAGGAGAACTTGTTTTTCTCCTAATTTTCATGTTAGCTGCAGTCCAATGTCTTCCCATTACCAGCCTTGGCACCTTGGTGTAGTAGTGATGTAAACATCAATATTTTAAAGTTAAAGAAGAATACAAAATAAAATTGAATTCCAGCAAGTATAAAGGAAATACAAAAATGTCTTTCCTATTGAATCCTCTGCAGATTCCAGATAATGGATTATTCATAGACCTTCAGCTCATAATAAGATGCCCTTTATTCTTGGAATTTGAAGCATTTCTCTCTTAAACTGCGATTATTTTCTGATTCCATTACCAAATTCAGTTTTGACATAGTGATACAATTTCCTTATCTCTCTCTTTAAAGTCACTGCATTAGACTGTGTCAATGAAAACAGCAACATTTTCCATGTGCGTTTTTTTCCATACGTGTGATGTTTATTAAAAAAAATAAATCTGAGTGATACTTCACAGCACAGCAAAATGGTGTGCAGTGGGAAATACAGCTGTACCTTGCAGGTGCTTCTAGCTGATATACAAAAAGCACTGCTTGGCCACACACCGCAATAGCTTTTAACAAACAGCAGAAGCATCTCTGACTCCCAGCAACAGCTACCTATCTGAAAAGACAGCAGAGATGAAGAATGTCTGTAATAGGTGCAAACTGGTAATTGATCCCAATTTGGCAAGGACCACCATCCCTCACCTGGCTCCAGTATGTACCATTCACTCACCCAGAGTCAAGTGCGTGTACAACTTCCTTGCTTCATGTGGCTTACTGGGGAGGAAAAACATCAGCTCTGGGGGTTTTGGTTTGCTTGATTGTTTCTGTTCAATACAAGGACCTATATCAGTTTGGCTGTTCCTTGGGAAACTCAGCTGTGAAAACTTTGTGCAATTCAGAAATCCCCTGCTAGCTGCTGAAATCTCTACTGCTATTTGGAAGGTAGGATTCATCTTTCACATAACAAGAAGTTCCCTAATCACTCTACCTGACACAGTTCCCCATGTTTATATAGATGTTTTATTTCTATGGCACTTTCTTAGATATAAAACAAGGGAACAGATTGATTTCCTAGTTAGAACCATGCAAAAATGTCCCTAAGACTTTTCTATTTTTTTTAATGGTATTTTAAAACCTCTACTGCACATTAGCCTATTCTTCTTTAAGAATTATCCTCCATCAAAAGAAGAGTGACTCAATGTTCTTACAGTCTTTTGCCCTCTCTAGCTTTTATGATCCTTTGCCACTAATGCTCAGACTTGCTTTAGACAAACTGAATTTTGAGGGCTCCATTTTCATTTGTGAAATGCATATTAATTCAACAGGGCATTAGATGACTTAATTAACATTGCAAAACTTTGATAGGCTCAGATGTTAGACCATCCAAAAGAACTGGCTGTAAAGTAGATAAAACCGTAGTCCACCATCAACTACTTGTTTTTAATGAATTTCAGGCCCTGATCACAGGCATGCAATGAGATTTGGCTGCCTTATTGTCTCCAACGCTACAATCCTCTGTGATGCTGATGACCCGTTAGTGTTATTTTGAGGAAAAAGCACAACTAAAGCGACTTTAGCACTGAATAACCGCCTGTCTAATAATAAGGTCTACCAGAAGCAGCTCACTTTGCAGGGGAACTGTAGCACAGGATAATTGAACTTAATATAGTTATGTGCCTTTGCCTTTGATTTGGGCCACACAACTAAATTTGTGGTCAATTACAGGGCCTGTGAGAGTGAGCATGAAGGCATAATTAAAGGTTAGTAAGAGGTGGACACAAAAGGAATAGCTCTGAAATTCAAGTCAGCTAATTCACTCTGGTTGCAGGGACATAAACAAGTGTTCAGCTATGCAGAGTTCAAAAGGCCATGTGTGCAGGTAGCCCCAGCTTTTCATTGCCAGAGATCTCCAGGGCAGCAGAGGCACATCCGTTTCTTGAAATGGATGAAAGAAACATTTTTGGAATGACTAAGGGCTTTTTTTTTTTTTTTTTTACATTAGAAATTACACTTTCAAATAAAGAAAACTCTTTTCTGTGTTTCCAGCCACTCAGCAGTCAAGGCGTAGAACTCCAACCAAGGTCAACATGGCTCATAGCCCTTTTGATCCTCAGAAAAAAGCCCCAGTGGTGGTACATTAATGTACAGCCCTCTGCATAAGAAGGATGCATCATTTGTAGCTCAAATTAATGAAGTGAGATTTAGTAAGTCAGAGCTATATTTGATTTCATGTTACTCTATCTTCTCCAATGTACTTACAGCACAACCTTAGATAGGTCGCCTCTCCTCCTCATTATTTAAATTCCCTACCCGTAAAATGAGAATAATAATATTTAAACACCTCCAAGGAGTGCCACAAACCTCATTTGTTAGTGTACATTTAGAGACATCCATATGGAAGTTGTTACAGAAATTACAAAGTGCTGTAAGAAATCTTTCCCCCAAAAGCTGGTTTTCAGGATTTTGTGATTCACTGTAACCTAATAAAACACAGCTCTGAAAGAAACCAGGGTAAGCTCTGTATGCAACACTGAATGCTTCTAAAATGGTTGCAGTCCATAAGGATAAATCAAGGCACATCGAGAATTCATGAATCCACACCTGCTTGGAGTGTGCAGAAGTCCCGAATTCAGGAGAGATATATTCCTGCTCTGGGATGATTGCTTGTTGTGATAAGAATGCAGAGAAAGCAATATACAACCCAAATGATTAAATGCAAGCAGCAAAAGTCCACTGTAAAAGCAGCAGTCCAGAGTGTGTGTCAAAAGTGAATTATGAAAATAGCCTCGTACATCCATGGCAATTTCACAGAGCCACTCTGATAACAATGAACACAACAGTGTGCAATAGGAACAACAATGACCAGAATTATTTCAAGCAATATATTTTTTAAGGACAGTCACTTTAGTTCTCTCTTTGCATCTGTAAATGGCAGCTGAATTAATGATAAATATGACTTGAGCAACAAAAGATTCTGCATTATAATCTATTATCTGCCCTCTTCCTGCCTGGAAGTGGTATGAAGATATTCCTTACAACTGAACTGAAGATGATCTTGTACCGAGTGAACCATAGTTTGCACAGATAAACTAAGAGGCTGGGGAAGAACAAAATGCCTCTCAGATCACTTGGCGATTGCTTGCAAGGTTGTAGGGATCTGTGTAGCTTTGTATTTCACTGTAATGCAATTTCCCTGCTGGGATCTCAAAGCACTTCACAAACATTAATGCTAAGATTCACACATGGTTATTTCCTTGCATGGGAGATTTCCAGGGCTGAGTTTTGCTGCTGTTATTAAGGCAGAGAAGGGCTAGAGTGCTACTGAGGGACCTTGTATAAAAAGACACCACTTTGTATGAGTGAGGGTAGACATGCTCAGGCTTCAGTGAGACCTTCTAAGTGTGCAGCTGTACAAAAGGAGAGTCAGACACTGAGCAAATTCAATGGAAAAGAAAAAAATGTTTCTGTGGATGAGCTATGTCACCTTCATCAAACTGACTGTTACGAAGCAGAGGAATGGGCGTGGAAAAGCAGCAGCCTCAGAGTAAAAGGAGGTATCTTAGGCATGGGGGATTATTATTTGCTTGATACTGGGAGGTGGATGAAGAGCAGTAGAGGCTGCTCAGGCTTCCCTGACCCTTTGCTGGGAGGTGTGAACGGTGGAGCAACATCCTTCCCATCACCCCATCCACTCACTAACACTATATGCATGAGGCAGGCAGACACTCAGTGCTTCTAGCTTATCTCAGGCAGTCCTATATTCCGCTTTCTCCCACCGGCTTCATTATAGAAGTTCGTGC